AGCATGGAAAACCTGAAGCACAAAGCAAACAAATAGAATAGTTGGTAGTATAGAAAAGACAGACAAACGTGGCTCTACCACTTGTAACTGCAGGCAGTCCCCAGGTTACAAACAGCTGGCTTACATACAACTCACAGTAGTTGTAATAGCCTTATAAACGGAAGCTATTACAGTCAACACGTAAATGTACCTGTTCCAACTGACATACAAATTCAACTTAAGAACAAATCTACAGAGCCTATCTTGTTCATAACCTGGGGATTGCCTGTATAAGGGGTCTTGAGCAGATTTCTTGGAGGTTATAGGAGTTTCATCCATAAAAGGAAGAGAGGTTGGGTCATTAAATGAGCATTCAGCTTTCCTTGGGCTATAAAATGTTTAGATTCATTATAAAACAACCAAGTTAATATTAATAATTTTGATTTCTCAGTGCAGAGCTAGTTTGTTGCTTAGGGACTCCAGTAAGCTGTTCAGGAGGCTTGAGATATAGTATCGATCTCACACTTAGCAGCCCTTTTTAAGGGCTCAGACTGATCATATCGCTGACAAACTCAGATGCTCTTCTTTCAAGCTAGAAACCTCACTATTGGGGGGGGGCGGTGTTATTGTTATTTGTTCTGGAAACTTGTCTCCTTCTGGTTTGAAGTAGGAATTATAGTAGGACATAAAAAAGGGTTTTTCTACCGTTAGGTCTTCAAGAAGCTCAGAAAGCAGGGGATCAAACCAAATTTTCTCTCAGAAATCACCATCTAGGACTCTAGAATTTCAACTAGAAAGTGAATGGTAAACAAAGACAGAGTCTTCAAATTCAATTCGATTGGGCACTTATGTGGTTTTGGGCAAGCCCCTTCCCTCTCTGTGCCTCAGTGTTTGTTTCTGTGGATGACAAAACTGGACTGAGTCCCTTTTAGTGCTAAATTCTAACTCAGTCTGCTTTCCTCAGTCCAAAAGGAAGAAGCACTCCATTCTTCCTTTAGCCGTATGAGTTAATTGTCTGTGTAACTGGCATAGCCTGGAGTTTAATTTGGCTTGGTTTACTCAGCTGAACTGCGGTGATCTTTGAGAACAGAACCCTCATCGTGTTTTGGAGAAAGAGCTTCTCCAAAGACACAGTGGGATGTGGCCCCTGAGGTGAGACTGTAGACCCACAATGTACTGCAAACAAGTATTTATTGGTGAGAGTGGAACATGGACAGATGTTTTCTTTTATAACTTTAGCTAATTGAAAGCAAGTGCAGGTCTTGCTTTAGCTAATATGAAGTACCAGGAACAAGAGTGAGACTGTGCTGCTCTCCCAAACGTCTCCTCACAGAGGGTTATGTCCTGCTTAACATGCTGAGTCTTCCCCTCCCCTCAAAAAAGAGATGACCTGCCTTAAATCAAGACAAACATGGAGAAAAAACCCTTGAGTCTGGCAAATCTGAACAGGTACCTGTGGAGCTGCAGGCCTGCTGGGAAAACAATTATCTGCTGAGTTGGAACAGGGCAGAAGCCGGAGCAGCGCTGCAGGTGGAGCTGCTGTGCAAGCAAAGGAGACAGAACAAGTGTGTCTGGGCTGTCCTGAGAGAGTCACTGACCAGCGTGTATGCCATCAGAGCCCGCCCCGGGCAGCATCTACTGACAGAAGTGGGCCCAGTTGTCTGGGAAAGCCTAATCAGAAGGGAAGGAGCGCCAGGCCACAGGCAGCTGAGACTGTCTGCAGGGAGGGAGAGCTGTGAGGAAAAGGCAGCCACAATCAGCTTACCCTTGCTCAAAACTTCTCTTTTACTCCATTTCTCTCCTTCATCCTGGGCTATAGTTGTGTTCTGTAAGAAAGTGTGAGTAAATATAAGTTGGTTTCACAGAAGTACTGAGTACATTGGATACTTTTTCCTCCATTCTTGAGATACTTTACTCAGGAGAATATGTTCCAGGGAGGGAGGTGGGAAGGAAGGGCAGGGAGGAGGTTTGATAGAGAGAGGTAAATGGCAGACCACACCTATGAAGCATATTGCAAGGGTACAAGTCAAATCTGTCAAGTGTAGAACATAGATGTCTTAACACAATCATCAAGTAAATGAGGCGAAAGCTATGTTGATTGGTTTGATGTAAGCATGTCAGATTGTATAAAAAAATCAATACATCGTACCCCACAAATGCATAAATGTATTCATGATCTAAAAAAAAAACAACTTCTCTTTTAAAACTCATTTCACTTGCTAACTCACTAGTCCATTATCTTTCAGAGAAGTATCAAATAAATAAGGACCCTCCCTCGGGGTACCTCTGGCAGGGAAGTTAGCAGTGTTATTTGGATTACAACCATACATCCCAAATGATGCAAGTCCAGGATTATTCATTGCAGCATGGTTTGTAAAAATGAAAGATTTGAAACAAACTAAATGCCCATTATTACAGGTCCGACTGGTTAGACAAATGATGGTACATCCTTACCATAGAAGATTATGCCTCCATTGAAAAGAATGAAGCAATTCTTTTCAACTGGAGAAAGTTCAAGTAAATCAGAGTTAAAGAGTGGTCAGAGCTGAAACAATTTTGAAGATTAACTCATTCAGGGCCTGGTGCAGTGGCGTGCCTGTAATCCTAGCACTCTGGGAGGCTGAGGTGGGTGGATTGCCTGAGCTCTCAAGTTCAAGACCAGCGTGAGCCAAAGTGAGACCTTGTCTCTAAAAGTAGCTGGGCGTTGTGGTCAGTGCCTGTAGTCCAGCCTGAGGCAAGAGGATCGCTTAAGTCCAAGAGTTTGAAGTTGCTGTGAGCTATGACACCATGGCACTCTACTGAGGATGACAAAGCGAGACTCTGTCTCAAAAAAATAATAATAATAAGATTAACTCATTCAACCATCTACAGCATGCAGAGGGGAAATGATTTGCCTAAGATCATACAATCAAGGCATAATCCAGCAGCCCTGGTACCCACTCTAATATTTCTGCAAGTGCATGCCTCCACTTTCATATTATTCTTTGAAGTGTTAGGGAATGCAAGGTTTTTTATGCCTCTACCATATTGGAAATCAGGATGAAGGAAGCTCCTAGATGAAATATACTTACCTATCCATGTTTTATGTTTGCCCTGCTGCTTAAAAATTCTAAACTCTATCTTTCTGTTAACCATATGAGATGCAGCATCTATAGAACTTGATCTGTTTTGGGCAGACCAGACTAGCTGATCACTAGGGTGGAAACTTTCCTGGAAGTTTCCCTCAGAAGCAGGCAGACTATTGCTGGGACTAGTTCTAAGCACAGTATTGAACATTTACCCTAGGAAGTAGTATATATACTATTTCTAAATAATATTTCCAAAAAGTTTCCCTGAAATTTTTTGACCCTTGGTTTTATAGCAAATACCCTCAAAAATCCTGGATGTTCATTCCACATTAAATGTATGCCTTGCTTGCTTCAAATTAATTTGGGGTGGTGGTGGTAATTTTTCATTCTCCTGACAGCAGCTCACTGCTACATGTCTCCCACTTGTCCATTCTCCTTTCACATTGTAGACATGAGGAATTTCCAAGATGTTGGTTTGGCTGTCATGCATACTCATTGATTTATATAACTTCTGATACCAGTGTGTACTTGTAGACCTCAGAATCACATAAAGACTTTTATTTTTATCCCTGAAAAATGCTTCTGTGAGCAGATACCTGTTTCTAATCTGACATCCATCTGTTATCTCTGGTTAGGTGCTTATAAGCTATCAAGAAACATACCAAAAAACACCTGGTTAGAATAAACCATCTGCCATTTTTCCTTCCATGCTGTAGAATTAAGCATCTGACTGTAGTAACATTTGATAAAGTATGATGGGGGTTGATTAAAAAATTTAACTATAATAAATATCAGATCCATGCAGTGTAATTTAGAATCTACCAGAATGAGACCTAATTTCTAACAATTGCAAACAAAGCTTATATAAGTGCAAATTACCTGTAAATGTGGATAAAACTCTTATCATCTTTTTCTGATCCTAAATTATTATAAGCTACCTACAAAAGCTTACAAATCAAGACCTGTATCATTCTTCTAACCCTTGATCTAGGTAAAAATAGTCTTCCAGGATTGGCAGGTGAGGTTTTCATATGAAGGCCATCATGTGTGTTTGTTTGTTTGTTTTTGTAGTTTTTGGCCGGGCTGGGTTTGAACCCACCTCCTCCAGTATATGGGGCTGGCGCCCTACTCCTTGAGCCACAGGCGCCACCCTGTTTGTTTGTTGTTGTTTTGAATCTCACTATGTCGCCCTCAGTAGATATCACAGCTCACAGCAACCTCAAACTTTTGGGTTTAAGCAATTCTCTTGCGTCAGCCTACCAAGTAGCTGGGACTACAAGCACCTGACACAACGTGACCCGGGCTGGGTTTGAACCCACCAGCTCCAGTGTATGTGGCTGGCACCCTAGCTGCTAAGCTACAGGCACCGAGCTGCCATCATGAGTTTTGAGACCTCGCTGTGAAGAGCAGGGGTGAGGAGGTAGTACTTCAAACTGGCAGACCTCACGTAAACTGATGAACAGTGACTTCCAACTTCTGTGGGAATAAAGCCTTGTGCGTGTTGAGATACTGATGGGTGTTCCTATTATAGGAAGCTGGAGACAACAACCAGTTCTGTTGGAGGAACCTCTTTTCCTGCATCAACCTCCTAAGGTTGCTCAATAAACTGACGAAATGGAAACATTCCAGGACCATGGTGAGTGGGGCTTCAGATCATTGAGGTGGACCCCTCAGCTGACAGAATTTTAACAAATCATTAGGATCTGTGGACTGCCTGCCTTTTGAGCTCTGTAGATAGACACTGAATACTACATAAGACCTAGCACCTCCTAATTCTGGGCACTTCTGCTATATGATTACTCACCACTCCATTTCGTTTCAGGGAGCTGAGTATGGACCCTCCCTCGGGAAGGTTAGCACTGTTGTTTGAATTATAGTCCCACATCTCAAATGATGCAAGTCCAAGATTATTCGCTGTAGCATTGTTTATAATAATAAAAAATTGGCCAGGCATGGTGGCTCACACTTGTAATCCTAACACACTGGAAGGCCGAGGCGGGCAGATTGCCTTAGCTCAGGAATTGGAGACTAGACTGAGCAAGTGTGAAACCCCCATCTCTAAAAATAGCCAGGCACTGTGGCAGGTACCTGTAGTCCCAGATACTAGGGAGGCTAAGGCAAGAGGATTGCTTGAGCCCAAGAGTTTGAGGTTGCTGTGAGCTATGACACCACAGCACCTATCTACCCAGGGTGACAAAGTGAGACTCTGTCTCAAAAAAAATGAGGCAGTTCTATATTGACATTAAATAATTTTTTTTTGAATTTTTTTTTTGGCATTATAGCTCACAGCAACCTCAAGCTCTTGGGCTTAAGTGATTCTCTCGCCTCAGCCTCCCGAGTAGCTGGGGACTACAGGCTCCCACCACAATGTCTGGCTATTTTTTGGTTGTAGTTGTCATTGTTGTTTGGCAGGCCAGGCTAGATTCGAACCTGCCAGCTCCAGTGTATGTGGCTGGCACCCTAGCCACTGAGCTATAGGTGCCAAGCCATGCCCTGCTATTTTCTGTTGCAGTTATCATTGTTGGTTAGCTAGTATGGGCCAAGTTTGAACCTGCCACCCT